TGCAGTATAAAAATATAAAAATAAGTATACTATAGGAAGTGGAAAGTAGCACTTGCATGTATGAAGGAGTCAGTTTTGCAATCTCGACTCAATTCCTTTTCTACTGGAATCAGCCACTGTTTATGTAAGAACTGGGTGGTAGTCGAAGGAGTAGATCTGGGTCAGTCGGAAAACATGTTTGCCATTACCACGTGAATGACAACAAGCTAAAATGTTATTGGCCAAGTGGAGCCCCAATGAGGCCTAAGGACCAAAAAGTTCGTGGATGTTCATTGGATGATAAGAGCATGAGCTCATTTAAACCCCATAGAAATATCGCTTGGCCAAGGTAATCAGTTGATTAATTTGTCTCTAAAGGTAGTTTTTAGAAGGAATAATGGTTGTAACCAAATAGTTACGACCCTTTTCTCAACATACACACCTGGTTGACCTTCTAACCAATTGGAATTTTTCTGACCTTATATTTTCAATCCAGGCTTTTAATTTTTAAGATCGAATTCTTGATTAATTTGGCTATCTTGTTCTTCAACTAGGAAGCATTCTATTTGATCTGTGTTAGAATCTCCAGTATAAATGCTGCCATGGAAAGCAAATTTGATTAGCACCAGTATTCACAGGAATTTATGTTTGGCAAGGAACTGGGCATCTCCACTGACCTAAAAATGCATGAAACTGGCCGTAACATCCACCTGGCAGAACACAGGGATGAAGGTGCATTGATGGCTGAAGCATCTAATGTACATGATCTTTCTAAATTGGTTGTTGGGCTAGATTTGGGATCTCCTTGGGAGAGACAACTCCAGTTGGTTTGCATCCACCCACTGGACTCAACTCCTAGCTAAATAAAGAAACCAAAGCAGCCACAGAGATGATGTCACATATTACCATCATTATTCTGGTAGACCCGAGTCTGCCTACAGCTCAAACACCACTGCCAACTCCCACAAGGCAGTTAAAATGGAGAAAAGGCAGATATCTCCATATTGGGAACCTCTTCTTGGGTTTTTCTTAGGGTGTCTTACGATGGCCTGTCAAAGGCATCAAATGTGTTCTCACCTTTGTCAAGACCATTACATTTTGAAGCCAAGGAAAACCTTCCCGGAATTAAAGGCACCTTGAAGAGTGGCCAAATGACAAGAAGAGAAGCTCAACTAGTGCCATCACCAGCTACAGTGGCAATTCTGGTGGTTAACAACACCACTACAAACACAGACAAGAGCCGACAGTGATTGTTACGACTCAGTTACTCAGAAATATAGCATTGCTTCGTAATCGGTATCTTAACAAAATCTCCTGTAAAATTTATTTGAGTTTAGATATATATACAGACTGTTATATTTTTGTAACAGGATAATTTGCTTATGCGATGAGATACCATAGGCAGTAGTGGAGGACGACACTTTACAAGAGTTTGAGAATGGAATTAACTATTTCCTTTCAGCCGTGAGGGTGTTATAATGTGACGTTCAATCTAACTATTCGTTGGTAAAAGAGTAGCCCAAGAGTTGGCGGTGGGTGGTGATGATTAACTGCATTCCCTCTAGTCTTACATTGCTAAATTAGGGAATGCTAGCGCAGATGGCTCTCGTGTAGCTTTGCGCGAAATTCATAACAAACCAAATCATAAGTTGTATCACTTTTAATATTAAAACACCAAAACTTCTTATTAAAGAGAATAAATTTTTTATTTTATGATAACTGATTGTTCAAGATATTCTGAATTTTTTCGTGTTTGAGAAAAATCAACGTTGACAAGGCGACTTTTGATTTTGTTTATTCTTTTGCAACTTTTTTTTTCTATATTATTGCATGTTGCCCGAAATTTTCCGATGGACAATAGTAACGAGATTAAAATGTTAGAGATAAGGCTGTTGTGTTATACATTACAGGTTACGGTCGATACAATGATCTGTTTCAGCTTGTATTTTAAAACATATAGGATAGTGATTTTATAAAATAAAGAATTAATTTAAGATTATTGTAATATAAGGATTGTATTTTGTTACAACTTAGTAAAAAGAAAAACTGTAGGTTTTAATTTTGTTGCCACACAAAACCACGAGTTTAGAACACTCGTTTGAAATCTGTTTTCGAAA